ATTGTAACTGAGGATCAGAGAGGGGGATCTTCTGGGGGAAATGACAATGGGGAGCTTCAAAAGAGCGGCAATCGGGCCGGCTGAGTGGCTCAGTTGGTTAAGAGCTCGCTCAAGAGTTTGAGCTCTGAGCAACAGCGGTTCGAGTCCTGGCCCAAGCTGAGCAGCCACTGAGCTGCCAACAGGTTCAGCTAAAACCCCCCTCCCCCCCAAAAAAGAGCGGCAATCTCCAGACTTTTCAGTCCATACATGGTTTAAGGGGGACAAAAATCACGCGGCTCACCAGCACCATCTCTAGGTTTAAGAAGTAAAAAGACAAAATTAATCCACCAGTGTTCAATCACATTCTCATACCGCACAGTGGGTAAAAGACCTCGCAATGAAATGAGATTCCTGAGAGAGCTTTCAGGAGTCAAAGCAGAAAGTTCAGTGGCAAAATCATGGAATCAGATCAACTTAGGCCTAGTAGGCTCTTGGGGGTCGTTCCCTCCAAATTCCACTCAAGGGAGGTGATCTGCCTACAGCACCTGTGCCAGTGATCTGCCATCTCAGCTTACCCTCTGCAGCAACGATGAGGTTGGAGACCCTTTGCTGGTTCCAATCGTGTCTGGCCTTGGGGGCCATGAGATCTCAAGCCATGTTTTGAAATTCAGACACGAAGAAATTCTAAGTGAACAACTGCCTCTGTCTCTCTGCTTTCCCGATTGGGGCCTCCCCCCATTCCTGTCACTGTGCTGGGGAAGGCCCTGGACCAACTATACTTTCTGCTTGATGATATATTATATTTCCCCTCCAAAGAAATCCCCCAAAGTTCCCATGTCACCAGAGTGAAAAATGTTGGTAATAGGTAAGACTCTAGAATTCAGTAGCACAAGCTTCTATTTCCTTTTTACCCTTGTCAGTGGAGGAAATGCCTCTCCCATTGTCCCCGTTTTTGCACCCAGAACTTTTTCCTTAGGGTTGCAGAGATGGTCACTGAAAAGGAGAGGGGAGAAAGGGATCATGGGGCATTTTTGGGCATTCACACTGCTGTGTTTCTGGAGGAAGAGCTAGGATAGGTATATTTCATCCATGAGGATACTGGTGGTGTGAGGTGTGAGCTTGGCAACCAGGACACAAAAGAGTTAGTTCAACCTTATAGGTAGATATTGCCCACTGGAATTGCTTATTTTTAAATATTCTTTATGTAGGCTAGTTTGGACTACTCTTTTTTTAATTTTTAAAAAATTGTGATAAAGTAGACATAACATAAAATTTACCATAGCAACCATTTTTAAGTGTACAGTCAGTGATGTTAAATACATTGATGTTGTTCTGAACTAGAATTATGTTAATTCTTCAGTAGTTATTAGTGTAATGTCTGTCCTCTCCTTGCCTCTGAAATGTAAATTCCTTGAGTGCTGGGTATCCTGCAGGCCCAGACCTGTCCTTGGAACTAGAAGACACCCCTTAAATATCTGTTTAGTGAATGAATATTCCAGGACCCCCTAAAATTAGTTATGCTATGGTTCAGACTGGTCAATATTTGTCTATAGGGCTGAGTGAACAAAAGCTGAAGTTCTATGTCACTCTTTACTACAGTACTTCTCTTCCCCTTGGTGGTTACAAAAGGAAAGAAACACTTACAATTGCTTTTGCACTGACACTGGTTTCCCCAGGAAAAGTGGCCAGAGTTTCCCTTACAAGTCAGAAAAAGCGGCCCGCCGCTTATTCTGTGGAAGCCTTGCTTGCATTCACAGTTGACCAGGGTGCCCACTTGGTACGTGAGGGCTTTGAAGGTGGCATGTCTGAGGCTTGGTGGTCCAGGAACACAAAACTCTGCAAAGTAAAAGAAGCATATTAGGAATTCTGGAGGTTCCAGTCAAACACTCACATGGTTAACCATGTGGTGATTTAATTGCACATTTCTTTGTTGTATTTAAAGGACCTCTTTTTCCTAGAAAGAAACTAAGGCTGATGCCAGTGTTCTTTAGAAAACTTTGTGTCAGAGAGAATTCAAAATTTAACTTCAACCAAAGTCCTCTCAAAACTATGATGGTACGTCAAAGTAAATGAGTAGAAATGAATGAGATTTCATTCTGGAAATGCCTCATGCCAAGCAAGTAGCAAGAGAGAGGAAGACCAAGGGATATGAGGAAAGGAAGAGAGGAAAGCCATGCAAGTTTAATTAAGGGGCAAAATGTGTCCGTGAGAAATACTTTTCAGGAAATAAGGATTGTCAGACTTTCTATAATTAATAATTCTGTACCATTTTTTTTAAAAAAGAAGTATACGTAAAGTGGTTCACTCAATATCTGGCTAGTAGGACGTATGTGTTTCTCATCCACCTACCCATCTCTGAGTTTTCCAAATTCCTTCTCATACTGTGAAGACCTGACTCTCCCTCGGCCCCAAAAAATGGACACAGGTTTCCCACTGAAGACACAAGTGGTGGCCAAACACGCAACTATTATGGGGAAAAGAGCACTGGTATAATCAGAAAGATGATTCCATTGCATATCTTGCAATGAGTTCTCCTGCTTCAAGAAACTAGATTTTTAGGGGAAAACTACATGCTAGATAAAAGACATGGCTAGGAAGACTCCCAGGAAGTGGAAAAGGTGAGAAAGCGGGGGTCCTCTGTCCCAGTCAGCCTCTCCCACCACCATAACAGGCACCAAATCCGACTGGTTGCCACACTTGTTGGTGGCAGAGGATGATCTGCCGATTGCTTAGTAATCACTCGGATTGTAGTGAAGCTTCTCTGTGCCCTTCACCCGTGCCCAGCATCTTGTCATCCTGGAGACCAACCCCATCTAAGACTTAGGACATACCGGTTACCCCCGAGAACAGAGGGTGAGGGAAACATGGACAGCTTGTTCCACCTCTAACCAAGAAGGGACAGAACAAAAGCAATCTGAATGGCTCAGTGGGCCAGCTGTTGCAGAACATGTACCGCCAGCACTCAATAAATCCTGGTAGTCATAATAATAAGGCAATAATGACAGGAAAGGGAGAAAGATCGTTTTCTGAATTCTAGGTCTACCAGCTCACTAGCTATATAGCTTTATTGTTTTTACTTATCTAAGATTTGGCTTCCTTTTCTGTAAAGTAGGTGTCATATTTCACTAATTTGTTTAAAGATTACACGCTATCTTTCAGAGCACCTGGCACACAATAGGAACAGAGTAGATGTTAGTTCTGCTTTTTTCCTTTTTTTCCTCTGTCCAGAAAAAGAAAATGGTAATTCGTATAGAGACTGGGCTGAAGTTTACCTTAACCATGAACTCCTGCAAAAGGTCATCTCTCTCTACAGCCCATATTATCAGCATCCACTGTCACTTGTTGTACATCAATCCCAACCAACTCTTTAAGTATCAGAAGGTAAATCTGTTACTAAAACAAGATACGCATAGTAGTCAGAAAAAACAATGGAGGAACAAGACAAGAATGTTCCCTCTTA